CTTGCCACAAGAAAGAAAGAGGGGGAAGAAAATTGCCTCTGACCCAGTAGATGATGGAAAGAAGGAAGAGATGATAGCAGTGGAAGCAAGTATTAAGAATCCAGTAATCAGACTGTCTGTTCTGCTATCGTTTGAATTTTGGATATCCCACAGAACTCTTGTATTAAAGGCTTGGTCCCCAGCCTGAGGGGTCATGGGAGGGAATACAACCTTTAGGAGGTGGAGCCTCAAGAAAGGAAGTTAGGCCATCAGGCATATGCCCTCAAAGAGGATACTGAGATCCTGTTTTTTTCCTTTTCCTCTCGCTCTTTTGCATCTGGCCTTTAGGTGAACAGGTTGTTTCACCATGTTCTCCCTGCCTTAACGGGCTGCCTCCCTACAGGATCCAAAGCGGTGAGACCACCCAAATATGGACTGAAACTTTTGAAACCATGAGCCAAAATAAATCTTTCCTCCTTATAACTTGATTTATTCCAGTTATTTGTTACAATAGCAGAAAACTGAGTAACACATCCCATCCTGATGATGCTGTTTATACTTTTATAATACTTACTTCTCTATGTCGTGAAGAATAAAGTGGAGTTTTAATGGCTTCTCATTGCTCTTGGAAACTCTGTGTTACCATGATCTGTAAGGCCTTGTATGGTTAGCTCTTGTGTCAGGACTTTAAACAAACGCAATCTTATTCACTTTGTCAAATTGGAGTTTATTTTCTTCAGTTCGGCAGCAGGATGTTCAGGGATAGTGCTCCTACTTGTGGAAATCATTAAGGACTCAGGTTCCTTCTTGGATAGTGCCATCCCACACCGTGTGGCTTTTGTCATTATGGTCTTAAGGCAGTTGCTCCTTCTCTAGGATATCTGCCCTCCTTTCAAGCAGGAATAAAAGATGGAGGTGAAACAGGAAAGCGCAAATGGTGCTTGCAAAAGGAGTCAGTGCCTCTTCATGAGGAAAACAGTATCTTTCCCAAAAGAACCACACAGTAGACTTTCACTCTGATCTCATTGAACAGAAAGGGTCATATGGTTCCCTTTAGCTACGGGGAACTTATGGAAGTTAAATTTTGAACTAAACCATTTTCTACATGTAACTTAGAAAAAAGAAAACGTTTTGGAAAGCATCCAGCAGTGTCTATGCATTGGCCCACTCTCCAGCTGCCTTGCAGATTATCATTCCCCTAGATTATATGCTTTACTATGTTGGCCTTTCTGTTTCCTAATTATGGTCAAACTTTTGTACCTCAGGGATGTATTCAATCTATAATCCTCTCTTCCTGGAATGCTCTTTTGCCAGCATTTCCAAGGTTGGCACCCTCATGTCCTTAGGTCTCTGTTCAACTGTGTGACCTTTTCAGAAAAGTCTTTGATACTTCTACCCTGAAATTGAAAGTGGTCACATCTGCCTTGCTAATTATCTTCCATAACAAGTTATCTATTTCCTTTTTAGTATTTTTATAGTACTTTCACACAATCCTGGAATTGGAATTTCCAATTCATTTACTTGTTTATTATTTCCCTCTCTCAGAAAGTAAACTTCTTGGAAGAGGACCTCATCCAACTGTTGGGTTCAGCACTAATCAGTGCTTAGGAAAGCTTGCAGTAAGACAAGAATTCCAAAGACTGTGATAATAAAGGAAATAGGGGAAGCTGGGCATTGGGAAGTGCCCTTATCTCCAATCTTTAGGTGGGCATCAAAGCAGAGTGACCTTGGTTGGAAAATAAAGGAATGCGCTCATAAAACATCTGAGGAATTCTACCTGCACAGCGGGCATGCAGCCAATCCTACATATTCCCTCTGCTTGTAGGCATGGTTCAGCCCTCTATATTATCTTAGCCTGCTGCCCACAGAATTGCATGAGTAATAAAATGTCTAAAACTTCCCAGCTTCCCTGTTGAGTTCTCCTAGTTCTTTCATCCTCCCGCCCCTCCCTCCCTCCCTCTCCTTCCCTCCCTCTCCTTCTCTCTCTCTCTCTCTGCCCCCCTCCCACTCCTGCCTTTCTTTCTTTCTGTACCAGGCACTTAACCACTGAACCACATCCCCAGCCCTTCCAGCCCTTTTTGTCTTTTATTTTGAGACAGGGCCTTGCTAAGTTGCTTAAGGACTCGCTAAGTTGCTGAGACTCTCTTTGAATCTGGAATCTTCCTGCCTTAGCCTCCCAAGTTGCTAGGACTACAAGTATGAACCACTGCACCCAGCTCCAAGTTCTTTCTTTAGGATTAGTAAAACTACTAATGCTGGGACATTTTCAGCTCTGGGACTGAACAATTGGCAGAGTCAGTGGGGTCCCAAAAGAGGATGTGTTTCCCAGAGTTGGGAAAGGGCATGGGTCTGTGGGGGAAATCTCTGACTGGCCATAAGCCTCCATGTAGTTTGAGGTAGCTTCCCATTGGAGGGGTGGGGACTACCATGTGAGTATAGGGATGCTCTGAAAACACAAGAAGAGGTGCCACAAATGTGGGAAGCAGCACCTAAAGTAGTCACAGAAAAGCAAAAGAAATTCAGGGTAATCATGGGAAAGTGAAAGGAATCCAACAGTGCTACTCCCTTGGTGGCAAAGTCCCTGCTGTGTGAATTAAAGTGAGACACAGACTGGGAGTCAGTCACGCAGGTTTAACTCTGTAGAGTATAGAAAGAACTAGAAAGAGAGGCCTGTTTAGCACAGGTTGACAGCAAAGATAAGCTGTTGCAGTGCATAGAATCTGCAGGTAAGTGTCTACAGGTCATAGCTTACCTTTATGCCAAACTGAATGGACATCACAGGCCCATATCCCATAGGAAGGCATGGGTGACTAGAGAAAATTGGGACCCTCAGATGTGGGACCCACTCAGGGAGTCCACTAGTGCCAGAGACTCAGAAATTGAAGTGGAGGATGAAGATATAATAGCAGGAACCAGTGATGGTCCAAAATTTAAAGAACCAGCAGGAGTGGCCTGAGGTGGCTGATCCAGTCTGCTCCCCATTCCAGAAAGAGATTTACCTACCGCCATGAAACTGTACACTCAGGCAGAGCCAGCAGAACTGGGGTCCAAGTTCAGGCAGAAAACAAAAGCAAGTACCTGCATGGCTACTCTACTTGTGCAACAGAGAAGCAGATGGGATTATAGTGAATGGTATGTAATTGTCTAAAATGGCTTACGCTGCTCTATGTCAGCAGCTTTACACCAATGCTACTGATAAAAGTGTAGGGTCATTACTAGCTCAGCTGCCTCTTGCCACTTGCAATACATGTTTAAATTTTGGAGATATCCTATGCCTAGAGGCATCTGGGCCTCTATGGAGGAGCTACAGAGCTATCTGTGGGAACTGGGAATGAAACATGTTATTTATGTGCAGTCTTTTCCAGGACCAGCAATATGACTTTTACTGTCAGGATGAGGGATGCAGTGTTACACACAGCCCCTTCATCCATTTGGGGTGTCCTAGTAGCAGTATTATCCCCATTAGTAGGGCAACTCCTCCAGCAAGTAACACAACTGATAACAGATCTAAGGGAAAAAGGAAGTTGCAGCAGAAAACAGGAGCCTAGAAGAATCTCTTTAAGTCTATAGTAAACAGATTCAGGTGAACTTAATAGTAGCAAGAGTAGATGAAAGGAAAATAGATAAACAATCTAAGGCAACCCTGGTATGCTTGTGGAAGCAATGACCAAAGGACAAGAGATTTCAGTCATTATCTCTCAATGAGAAAAATGAAGATGTCAGAAAGTCAGAATGGACTTCAACTCCAAAAAGAGACAAAGAGAAGCCTCTTCTATTAGGAGATGTAATGAAAGCAGAGACCACAGCTTTCCCCGGGGAGTCTTTGAGTCCTTGGGTAGGGGAGAACTAGGGGAAAAGTGAAGGTTCTTGGGTCTGAGCCATGTCTCTGGATGGGAGGCCATATGTAGAATTGGCAGTACATTGGTCTTCAAAGAATATTCAGAGAGTAACAGCACTGGTGGACACAGGATCTGAATGTGTATTGATATATAGTAATCCTGTCAAAGTCTCAGGCAGGTAAACTGCTCTTGACCGATATGTTGGAAAACAGTGAGAGCTGAGCTATAACATTGACACCAAGGCTTAGATGCCTGCCTTCCACTGCAGCATGGAGCATGATGGGGTTGGGTTCTTTATCTCATGAATTTGAAGAATAAAATTCATGGACACAAGGGTGAGAGCAAAGTACAGGATTTATTGGGGTAATAGAAAGAAAGCAGAGCTCTCAAAGAGGGAGGGGTCCCAAGAGAGGGATACCGAAGAGTAGCTATTGTCTTGGAGTGTATATAAATCTACAGGGTTAAGGAAGTCAGCCCCCTGCCCAATCCTGGGTAAGGCATTCAGTGTCCAAGAGGTATTTATGCAGCCTTTAGTCCAATCAAAATATCAACTGGGCATTTTTCCTTTTTGGAGAGGCATGAATCCTAGTCACATATTCCTGATTTTTAAATAACATTTTTGTACATTTCTTAGCAAATATTTGCAGGTACTGTTTGTGCTCTATTGCCCAGGAGGTTAACCAGTGGCCCATTTCCCTATCTGCCCAGCCTTAACTCTTCCTCCTGATGTCATCACCCTACCCTTTGTTCACAGATTGCATTGGTGAATATTTAATAGGTATTGATATATTGTGGGGTAAATGCCTACAAACTATCATAGGGGAATTCTGTTTGCATTGCGAGGTGATTAAGCATGCATCCACTATAAAGCCAACATTAAGAAGGCTTGCTAAACACTCCCCGTTTTTGCCTGTACCCTGCTGAATTGTTGCCCCCCCCAAACTATGTCTTCATGTTGGCCCCCAAGAGATAATGGACACTATATGTAAATTGGCTAAAGTAAACACAATTTTTCCAAACCACAGTCCTTTTAAATTTCCTTCATAAACAGTAAGAAACCCCAATAGAGCTTAGTACGAGACAGTGGAGTACAGGGAATTAAATAATGTGATCCACTCACATTATGCAGCCATTGCCAATGTAGCCACCATTCTAGAAGGGAATTTATAATTGTGTATTAGACCTTGCTAATGCCTTCTTTGGAATAGATGAAGTGTCTGAGGGTCAAGACTCATTTGTCTTCATGGGAGAGGATGGATAATAGATGTTTACAATCTTATCTGGAGTATGTCTCCATCACATCATCTTATGTCATGATATGGTAAAAAACCTGCTGCCAACATGAACTGGTAAAAATGTTTATATAATTATCACATCAGATTTTCTTTCAGTGCTCACCAAGGATACTCACGTGATTTTGCCTCATTTGCAAAGAAGAGAGTAGACCTTGAACTCCAACAAAGTGCAGGGTCATGGCTTATCAGTGAAATTCTTGGGCTTTGTCTGGTCAGGTAAGACAAAAGTTATATCTCAGGCTGTGATAGATAAAATTTAGGTGTTTCCACTTTTCAAATACAGTAAAGCAAATACAAAAATTTATGGTGTTACTAGGTTATTGGAGGAGTTTCATCCTTCATCTGGCTCAGTTATTACTACAATTCTATAATTTGTTTAGAAGGGGTACAGGAACTGTTCTGACTGGCATACTGAGGCATTTGTTTAATCAAGCCAAACCAATAGTCAAGCAGGCACAAGCCCTTGGACACTAGACATGGAAACCTGCTGTGCTTACCACCCATGTCACTCCAGATGGCTTTTGATGAAGCTTATGGCAGTGGATTAAGGGACATACGACACTCATTGGATGTTGGTCACAGTATGGAAGTAGGCAGAGGAATGCTAAAATTGTTAGAAAAACAACAGTGTGCTACTTGTGCTGCCTTCTTAGTCATGGAGCCCATCACTAGCTATGGTTGTGACCGCCTATCTAGGCGTAACAGGAGTTCACTTGCTGCTCTGCCACCGTGGCTTATTTTAAAACTGATGTTTCCCCCCTTTTCTCTTCTCCCTCTCCACCTTCCTAACCTTTGGGGAAACAAGGCCATCTTAGGTCATGCTACCTGTCTTTGAATACACATGCCAGAGGAATAAAGTTATTTAGGCCTTGGGACTGACCTAAGAAACTGCGCTCTCTCAGGGTCATAAGTGAATTATGGTCCCTGACAAGGTTGAACTGGAATTTTTTGGCCTTTGAATCACCTTTATAAAAGCCTTCTGTTCCCCCTGACAAGCAGATACACAACTTCTAGGACAGGAGTCCCCTGTGTTTCTCCTTTGCTCGCAAAGAAATGAAACTTGTTTTTCTCAAATGCTTAAGTCTTGATTTAGCCTCCCACATGGCTCAGGTTCTTTTTTTTTTTTTTTTTTTTGTACTGGGGATGGAACCCTGGGGTACTCAACCACTGAGACACACATTCTCAGCTACTTTTTAAATATATTTTATTTAGAGACAGGGTCTCACTGAGAGAAGCCTTGCTTCATCAGTGATTGTCTTCATCACTAGATTGGCATTGAGGACAAGGACTAAGCTTTTGGTAACAAGTGAATGGCTACATCAAATGACCAAGGTTCCATAATTGGGAGTAGCTCAGACGGCAACCACTAGGAAATATTGCAAATACCTTTGACAGCAAGGAATAGACAACACTTTGCCTCTCAGTCAACAGTTCCTGGGACCAATCACATATGTAGAATAACAGGATGAAACATTATAAGACACACCTTTACTCCCTTCACCCATACAAGAAGGCCATTCTCCAACGTCAGAGCAAGTCTAGTATACTGATGGATCAGCAAAAGGAAACCCCCAGAGTGGACAGCTGTAGCCTCTCATCCAGTGACTGATATTGTGAATTGATGAAGGAAATTGATTGATTGATGACAAGGAAACAGCAACTAGTGGGCTGAATTGTAAGTGATATGGATGTCTATTGTTTACCAAAGTGGGCCATTAGCTATCTTTACAGATAGTAGGGACATATTCAGAAGACTTAACAATGTGACTGTCTCAGTGGCAACAACAGTGGATGATAAATGGCAGATATGAGAAGATATTTGGTGTTGTGCCCAAACCAAAATTGTTACAATATACCATGCAATTGCCATTGTTCTCTCTGATTTACAGGAAATGATGAGGCTGACTAACTGGCAAAGATAAAATGACTAGAGCAAACCCCTGCAGGAGAAGTTGCCCCTTGGCTAAATCATAGATTAAAGAATGCAGGTTGGAAGATTATGTGAGTAGCTGTGACACACCCATAAAGATGTATGATGTTGTTGCTGCAGCTAGAAACTGTCTTCCTGTGGTCTGTTATCACTATCCACAACAACTGAGTGCTACCAAGTGGTATATCAAGTGAGGTGATGTCCCTCTTCAGCAATGGCAGATAGACTACATTGGCCTTCTCCCATTATCAGAAAGGGACAAATATGCATTAACTTGTGTGGCCACTGTAACAGACTTGGTGCAGTCTTCCACAGCAAAAAAAGCCAATCAAAAGGCAATTATTAAGGGATTGACCTGGTTGACTGCCATGTGTAGCATACCACAGGAATTAACAATGACCAAGGAACTCATTTCATAGGTCTTGAACCCATACAGCAATGGGTTCAAGACTGGGACATACTATGAATTTTCCACCTGCCATGCAATACAACAGGAGCTGTATTAACTGAAATAATGAATGGCCTGCTGAAACAAGCCATAAGGACTGAGAATGACTCTATGCAGGGCTGGGTTTTCCTTATGAGAAACCCAGATATCAGCTGCCTGCAGCTGTTTCTATGTTATCTTGCCTATGGCTGCCAGGGTTGGGGTTACAGATAAAGTGCACATCCACTGAACATTTTCTTAAACTGGCCTGGGCACAAGTAACAATTTACCGTTGCTGGCTCTTCAAGATATTACCTGGTAGACAAGGAGCATTAGTTGGCCATGGACTGTACAAGTAACCACCTCCAGTGGTTTGCCTTCTGGTTCCTTGTAGGGAGGAAGAATGGCTAAATGTAAAAGTAAAACCTACAATGTTGGGACCCTGGCACTCACAAGTACAGGCGATGATACTCTTGGCATTATCACCTGGGAAAAAAAATTTGTGGGGGGGAGAGGTACTGGGGATTGAACTAAGGAGCACTTGACCACTGAGCTACATCCCCAGCCCTGTTAAGTATTTTATTTAGAGACAGGGTCTCACTGAGTTGCCTAGTACCTCACTGTTGCTGAGGCTGGCTTTGAACTTGTGATTCTCCTGTCTCAGCCTCCCTAGCTGTTGAGGTTACAGGCTTGCACCACCATGCCTGGCTTGAGGAAAATTTTGTATCAGTTTATGGCAGTTATATATTCCAGAGTTGTCTTGTTCCTTCTATACCCCTCAAGTGCAAACAGGTTGATATGGTACACTTGCCATGTAGGCTAATTTGTGGACAAAGCTGTAAGGACCATACAGTAAAGATCATATAATAGCCGCTATATTGCCTCATGGAGCTGCTTTGCTATTATTGGTGTTTATTAAACATTTGTCATATTCTCCACAGGTTAACAACAAGGTTGCTAAACAATAGGTTTAAGCAACTGCTTAACAATAAACCTATAAACAACAGGTTTATTCCTGGACTGAGTAATGGAAGTTGCACATCATGCTAACCAGAATAACTGTTGGATCTGCTCAGAACTCTGAGTGCAGCACAAGAACTTCCCTGGATATCTTAACCTGGAAATGAGATGGAATAGACTTGGCTGACACTGACTAGACTGCCTGCAAAAATGGCCTTCATATGATTACACTAAAGAGAAAAACGTTTGCTTTGATTGGAGACATTAAATTTCTCTCAAGTACCTGGGTATACTTATATATGGAATGGACTTTTATATGAGGTAGCAATTCAGGTTAGAGTTAAAAAGTAAACTTTCCTTTGCATCACCCTGTAGGGTCATGATAAAAAGAAGGCAGGTTTTATGCCTCCATGTCTGTGTGAGAAAACAGTCAACTCACCCATCATCCCTTGTTACTCATGGGGCTTTTCCCCTGCCATGGGATGAACTGTGTATATGTGGGCTCTATGGATGGCCTTACCTACCTTACCACTGGACAGGACAATGTACATGGGGATGGTTTTGATCTCAGCCCAAGTTTTGCCTCTTTTGCCACACACACACCTAGTAAATGGAGTAGCATAAAGGCCCTGCCATGCCATCTGGTGGTTTTAATCATTAGATTATCTTTCCCCACAAACTACAGTGATTGATGTAGAAGCTTAAGTCTTGATTTAGCCTCCCACACTGCTCAGGTTTTTTTTTTTTTTTTTTTTTTGGCACTGGGTATGGTACCCTGGGGCACTCAATCACAGAGCCACATCCCCAGCCGCCCCCTTTTTTTTGTATTTTATTTAGAGACAGGGTCTCACTGAGTTAGGGCCTTGCTAAGTTTCTGAGGCTGGCTTTGAACTCGAAATCCTCCTGTCTCAGTTTCCTGATCTGCTGGGATTACATGTGTGTGCCATAGCGCCTGGTGCTCTCATTCTTTTTTTTTTTTTTTTAATTTTTTAATATTTATTTTTTAGTTATAAGTGGATGCAATATCTTTGTTTTATTTTGATGTGGTGTTGAGGATCGAACCCAGTGCTTCACGCATGGTAGGTGAGCACTCTACCTCTGAGCCACAACCCCAGCCTCTCATTCTTAATGAGACTAAACATGCCATAATTTGATAACTGAGGAAACTACTAGGATAAGAAAGGAAGCTTTACAAAATAAGATGGTGTTGTTCTTGTGGCTGCCCAAAGTGTTGTATGTGCAGCCTTAGGGACAGAATGCTGCATGTATACATCTGATAATGGACATAATTACTCACACTTAAACCCATGTGTCTAAACAAATTAAAGCCATCTTAAGTACCTTAGCATGTTTGCTGATAGGTTCTTGCTCTTTGTACTGCTATTTTAAGATATAGATGCAATTTACCTCTGGAACCCTGCCCCAAGGGATTTTTTTTAACACATAAAACAATATTAGATTGTGAGAGATATGAAGGGGCTTCTGAGGCACTGAAGGGGTGGAATATTGGATTAAATTCTAATCAATGCCTGGGAAAGCTTGTAGTAAGAGAAGACCTCCAAAGAATGTGATGATGAAAGAAATGGAGAGGGGAAGCTGGCCACTTCCTTTATCTTCAATTTTTTTTTTTTTTAATATTTATTTTTTAGTTCTCGGCTGACACAACATCTTTGTTTGTACGTGGTGCTGAGGATCGAACCCGGGCAGCATGCATGCCAGGCGAGCGCGCTACCGCTTGAGCCACATCCCCAGCCCCTATCTTCAATCTTTAGAAGAGGACCTGAACAGAATGATACTTATTGTACGCTAAAGAAATATACTCATAAAACAACTGAGAAATTCACCTGTACAGTGGGCATGCAACTTATCCCATATATTCCCCCTGTTTGTAGGTGTGGTGTGTACAGTCTGTTGCCATGAAAAGTATGAGTAATAAATTGTGCAAAACCTCCCTTTTGAGTCATCCAAGTTCTTTCTTTGGGATCAGTAAACAGTGCACTGGGGTAATTGCATCCCTGGGCTGAATACCATCTTGTTCACAACTGTACTCCCGGCACCCAGGACAGTGCTTGGTAAATAGTAAGTATATACTCAGTAAACATTTGTGGCATAATTTAATAATGGAAAAAGGGGGGGATAAGATTCTTTTGTTTTGAAAATTTTTATTAGTTATTGATGGACCTTTATTAATTTATTAGTTTATATGTGGTGCTGAGAATCAAACCTAGTGCCTCACACATGCTAGGCAAGCACTCTACCACTGAACCACAACCCTAGCCCCTGGGATAAGACTCTTAATCATTCTTTTTTAAACATACATATCAATTTCAATAATCAGATACATGGCTCTTCTACTTAAAAGAATTCATTGCTCAGTGTCTCTTGCCTGTCTTACTATTTTAAGATGCTTCTGCCCTTAAAGCTGATATGGTTTCAAAATTAAGAAGAAAATAAAAGCTCTCATTTTCTTATGTTCTGATAATATCAACTTATAGTTTTGGGTGTTGGTAAGTCGATGAGAAGGTGTTTAGGTTCTGCCCAAGAGTAAGCTGCAGCATGTGCACTCACTACACTCTTGCAGGCAGGGAATACACATCTCTGAAGAGAGGAACCCAGGAGACCTGAGGTCTGAGCCCATTGTGGTTCAATTTCAGTGCCACAGAATTGGATTTGTTTGCTTATTGTGTGGTTATTTAAACCAGGTCCATTCCAGCCTCTCATCAAGGAATGTGGAGTTAGAAGACTAGGGTCTGAGGGGCTTCCTATGAGACCTTCGTTTTGTTGCTCCCGTCGATGAGAGGCATTCTGAGTCACTGCCTTACTCCTTTTCTCCCTATTGACTAATTTATCAGTAGACTTTTGATGAGCTGAACTTCAGAAACAAAGCCTGCCCAACATGTTTCTGGTTGAAGTAGTGATTAATGGCTGCTGAAAACATTGAAAGCAAAGCTTATCTGAGCAAAGAAAGCCAAGTACTGGTATTTAATTTATTTAAAACAGGTTTTCCCTATGTTGCCCAGGCTATCCTGGAACTCCTGGGTTCTTGAGTAGCTGGGACTACAGATACATCACTGCCATAACTGGCTTGATATTTATCTTTGAAGTGCACATTTTAATAAAAGTACTTCACTCCATGAAGGAGTTGTCAATAATAAACAAAGCTGGCACTAAAATGTTAAGGCAAGATTTTATTAGTATTTTTTCCAAAACAAAGAGAGTACAGTATGAACTGAACTCTATTTCCCTGAAACAAAATGTGGGAGATGTTTTAAATGCTGTTGTGTTATAAAGGAAAGGCACTGCAGGCTCTAAAGTGTGTGTGTGTGTGTGTGTGTGTGTGCGCGCGCGCGGGGTGCATGACAGAGGGGAAACAAATTTCTATCTTAACCACAGGAGACAGTGGTGCAAATTGAAACAGGGCACTTCTCACAAGTATTCAAGATTAGTGTGAGTTATGTTACATTGTTGTAGGGACAAACAAGGCAAGGCACAGAAGATAGCAGGAAACAGTTTTATTTGGCTGCAGCCAGGTTCAGAGGGTACAGCCTTTGCTGTAATCAATCAATACCCTGAACCCCGAGTTCAGGGAGTTTCGGAGTTTTATACCCAGCATGTAAGGGGAGGGGCTCAGAAGTTCACAGTCTGCAGAAGTTCACATAAAAGCAGCTTTTTCTTTGACTGTTCTGGGCATGTTAACTCTTCAAGGACAACACCTGAGAAGGGGAGAGCTTCTTCTCTTCTTTCTATCCTCCCCCTGCCAGCGGTTACCATGGAGCCCATTTGTAACTTATCTTAAAAATTTAGATGTCTCTGTGAAGCCCAGCTCAAGGCCAGAGGCCTTGTTTTCACTTTTCTTCAAAATACTGTACTGGATACATTTGTGAAAAATTAGTAAGGGGGTGTCCAGCACCTGGAGTGCTTGTATCTTCCCGGCCAGTGGCCAAGTAAATAGGGTGAAATGAAAATAGGAAGTTTATCTACAATGGACTCTGTTGCTGACAGTCCTAAAATCAGCCATGGTGAAGAGGGCTTTTCTGTGGAGAAAGGGGGTGCCACTTCAACATCTCAAAGAGATGGGGCTCAAGTCCACAGCAAACAGGGTTGGGTGGTAGGAAAAAAATTTATAATTAAGCTTTCTAAAGTTATAGCTCTGGGGCCGTCTGGGAAATTGAGGCAGCATAAAGACCCCTTTCAAACCCCGATTCTTGAGATTAAGTCAGAGGATTTAGACATGTTGCTCACAGTAACAGGCATGAGTTTCTTGAAGGGATACGAAAAGAGAAAAGCGAAACTCTCAAGGGAGAAAGTGGGTCTTTTCAGATGAGAGGGACAGTGTGCCTCCAGTTTTATTGGGGAGCTAAGAGATGTTTCCAGAGAGTCCCACCCAGGTCCACTTGTTGACTTTTGACTCACAGCAAGATAGCATGGCAATTTCAAATCCCCACTGCCATGGCAACTCTAGGTCACTTTGACCCATGCTGACAGGTTCTAATGGATTCTTAACCATGAATTCTTACAGATTTTATGGTTAGGAGGAACTACTCTTATCTTCCTGAGTTTTTGGGATCTGGTCTGTAAAAAGGGTTGCAAAAGTCTCCTTTTTCAGGGTAACTTGGGTTCCTCTTGTGGACATTATTTCAGGCCTGCGTTTCTCCTGCAGATAACAGGTAGTTTGCTGAGGAATGTAAAATATTCTGTCCACTTAAGCTGGGCTTCAAGTAAATTGCTTTTTGGAAAAGACAGCATGTGGGTGGTCAGCACAGTGGGCCCATTTTATAGAATTATTCTCCAAACCTCCTGTTACCACCATTCCCAGTTGTCTGTTCCCTATCAAGAGGAGTTAAGACACCTATCATATGACTGGGTTTTGTCAGGAACAACAGTAAAATTCTACTAGCTTTGTGTTCAGGCAGGCATTTCAAGAGGGTCTGGGGTTATCTCAAGTACAAGCCTTTATGCTGCTGGAAACCATGGTATATAGAGTGTGATCAAATCTTAGTGCATAGATTTGGTCAGAGTCACTATGTGCCAAGAGTCCTGCAGCTTTCAGGAAAAGTGCTGTTTAAAATTTAACTGGCTTTTAAGATAGTCAAAGCTTTACAATGTCTGTGTCTGAACTGTACCCCTTAAATAGTGGATTATGTTTTTAAACATTACGAATTGACATATTAATGAGTTGATGAATATAAAAAATATAAACCAGATCATTAACTGCTTTGGACAACTTGGGTTTCCAACTTGGCTAATATCTGCTTTTCGACTTTATTCTCCAGGTTGTGTGCCAACTTTACATCCTGTTTATTCAGCTGCGGGTTTCCAAGGGCCACACCCAGCAAAGCCCAGTGCAATTTACCAACTGGAGGGAAGGACTTGTTAAAGAAGGAAGAGAAACGCCTCCAGGTGCGTGGGCTCCAGGTTTCTTTCCTACTTCTTCTTACAACCACCGATTGTTCATCATATGACTATGAGCGCGTGGTTCTGCATTTCCTTCCTTAGAAAAAAGGGCAGTAAACTTTTCGCAAATCCCTTTCTTTCTTTCCCCTTTTGTCCCCTTCCAGTTCCTCCTTTCCAAGTCACCTTTTCTCTGGCTGTCAGGGTACTTCCCTCCGCCTCGTCGCGCGCCTGCGCCTGCGCAGATCAGGCCGTCGGCGAAGACAGGCGCTGCCAAGTTTGCACGGCCTTTGCTTTGCGACATGGCCGAAAAGCGCCGCCACGCACTTGGGACGTCACGGGTCCCGGGTGGCTGTTCTCGGCAGCTCACCCTGGTGTAGTCGGCGGTACTTGCTAGTGGGGATTTCTGTATAGCACTGGGGAAAGCGGCGGTTCGGGGAGAACTTCTAGTCTGTGTGTATTTTTAGATAGATGCAGCGGAAGAACCCGCGGGCTGCCGGGTCCTAGTGCCCGCTAGATACCCGGAGCCGGGGATTGGGCAGTGGGGCCGGCGGAGGCTGAGGCCCAAGCTAGGGTCGAAGCCTCCCGCGGGGCGCTGATGGCCGGACGCTCCCTGCGTAAGGCTTTAGCCACGGTGTCTCTCTCAGTAGCCTTGGCCTCCGTGACTGTCAGGTCCTCAGGCTGCCGCAGTATCCCGGCGTACAGGTATTCACCACTCGTATTCACCACTCCTGGTGCTGACCCCTATCCGGAGACCTTGGGTTGGGGGTGGGAATCAGCTTCCTTTCCGGCGTATTCTGTAGGCTTTACTTATGACCCCGATTTACGCATCCCTATACCCAAAACAAAAACAAAAGAAAACAAAAATCTTCAAAATGTATTAGTTGTTTTTTTTGGGGAAAATTAGTTCTGGGACCTTTATTAACCCCTGATTTTGAAATTTGCCGTCTTTTGTAAGTCACCAACATTGTGGTCATCAGAGAGTTAAGCGCTTGTTTGGATTCTGTTGCCCCGTGTCATTTTCTTTTCTGGTTAATATTTAAAACATCATGGACATTGGCTGTGTTTTACTAATATAAGTAGTCGTTGTTTTCTCTATATGGGAAGACTGATTGACTTTGGCTGTTTGTATCTGGCTCCTAGTCTGGAAGTTCAGTGGAGAGTGTGTGAGCTGGTACCAGGTGTACAGACCTGAACCCTTTAACCCTAGAATTTACAGTAGTATAGTTTCCTCAACTTTACTTTCTAGTGAGACTTGTAAAATTATTAAACCTGTTTTTCTCTTGTTTTCTAACACCAGTATTAATGGTAGGGGTCCCAGCTACCTCCCTTGTTTTTTAAACTTTTGACTTTATCCTGGGAATAAATAGCTATTGCCAACTTTTGGTTTTCATTTGAATAACTTCCATGGTTATTGTCTCACTGCCCACTTAACAAACTTTGGGCTTACTGACTTCAAATTTGAAATCTCTTGGCTTCTCTTGT